GTTGAGGGTTATACAAGTTCTCTTCATTGAGATTTGGATAGACCCTGCCCTTTCACTTAGGTGATTGGGAGTGCATGACAACAAATCTGTTACCTTGGGTAACTTGGATTATTCTGTAGAAGAAATTTCTTTTATAAGAATTTCTTGCTTTACCATTGAGGTGGTAAAAAGACTTTAACAGAATCAACCCAGATCTTACAAGCTCCCTTAATCCTTATGGCATCTGGCCAAGAGAAGGATATGGCAAGGGAGGAAGGGCCCACTGCACCTAATGAGGTGGTGAACAATGCTGCTGAGATTGACCTCAATCAAGATGAGGCAATGGCTGAGATAGAGTTGGATGATATTGAGGACTTGGACCTGGACCTTGGAGATGAGCATAACCATGGTGAAGCTGAGAACCATGATGAATCTGAGCACCATGGTGAAGCTGAGAACCATGGTGGCACTGACAACCTTGGGGAAGAGGATAACACCGGTGGAAAGGAGGCCACTGGTGATGAAAATGACTTCACTGAGGGTGAAGGCACGACTTATCCTATCTCCGAGGAGATTGTCCAACTCCAGGCTAAGGTGGCAACTCAGAATATCACCATCCTACAGCAGCAGACGTCCATTGATGGACTCAAGAAGCACACTCAGAACCTCGAGGCTAGACTAAGCATTACCATGAAGGAGGTTACAGAGTTCCGTCGCAGCCTGGGCACTAAAAAACGCCAAATTGAGTGGCTTCTGAAGACTTGCAAGAATCTGCAAGCATCGTTCAACAAGTTCAATGAGCAGTTGACACATCTTAGGAGGGAGGGTATTTACGAACCTCCTCCTGGGCGTAGATCCGCTCCTGCTGCTCAGCCGACATCCGCTCCGCCCGCACCCCCGGCGGTAGGTGCTGCGACGGCTATGCATCAGCCACCTCCAACTGAGACCTCGCCCTTTGGGTCTCTCGCGGCGCCTCTGCCTGAATTTAACCATAACAAGACGGAGGTGCAGCCTTGGCTTGACCTGGTGGATTCCACCATGATCCTTGCAAATGTGCGCCCCGAGGCTCGCGTCACTGCAGCTACTCGTGCATTGGACGAGGTGGCCCGCAGGGCCGTGTATGGTGCTAAGAAGCAGGCACAGGGACCGTTTGAATGGCCGGAGTTCTGCACCGCGCTGAAAGAGGCATTCATGGTCAAAAAGTCCGACCTGGAACTGCGCGGACGCCTTGAGCGTATCAAGTGTCATGACCGTTCGGTGCAGGAATATGCGGTCGAGTTTGAGGCCGCAGCACGCTTGCTCCAAAAGCCCTTGGCTGAGGAGGAGATGATGCACATCTTCATGAAGGGCCTCCCTGTCAACCTGCAGCAGGCACACATGACCGGCGGAGATGAAGGAGCAGGTGATCAAAACCGACAACATCATTCGCACGTACATTTTTGGCCCCGAAAAGACAAGCCCGGAGCCCCGTGCTGAGGGCTCTGGTGGTCATGGGAACCGGCCCCAGAATGCGAAGGGTGGAAGCGGTTGGAACAAAAGGCCTTTCCAGCAGCGTGATCACCAGCCTGGCCCACAGGCCAAGAGGCCTAACGGAGGGGGAGGTCATGGACCTAACAAACCGGACTTCTCCGACAAGCAGTGCAGAGGCTGTGGAAGGATGGGGCACGTCATAAAGCAATGCCGTGATAAGAATGCTATAAAGTATTCTGGGAAGCCTAAGCCAGGCGGAGCTGGACCTTCTGGAAAAAAGGATTTTCAGAAGCCCAACTAGGGTGTGGGTACCTAGTTGGAGGAGTAGATCGAGTGGATGAGGCATATGTGCTATGTGATGATGATATATTAAAGCTAGAGAAGCTTGCTGATTGCAAAATCTCTTGTTTGTTTGCCTCTTCTTTTAATAAAAACTCTGTTTTTTATCCTCGATCGTACCCACTTGAGAAAATTTCCATGGAAGCAATGCAAGATAAATTTTCAATTATTTTCTGTGGTTTGGACATTCTGCGTTCTATCATTGAGATTGTGAGTCGTTGCACTCAAGAGCACCCCCTGACTTTGGTTGCGTTGGTGACTCGCACAGTGAAAGGCGAATTGTTCCATGTGCTTCGTGGATGGCCGGTCCTAGCGGCGTGGGACAAGGGACACCATGTGTGGTGGACCAAATCTCAGTCACATGGACGCGCTCGTCACAACGTCAAGGTGTACTTCAAACCTTCGACGAGTATTGTGGCATGTCCTATTCGCCCAAAGCATCAACAAAATTTGTTGCTTGCGGGTAGCGTGAACGGGGATAATGCAAAAATCCTTGTTGACACGGGTGCAACTGTTTCCCTCTTTGACGAAAAGTGGGTCACAGCACGCACGATCCTAGTTGAAGGACCGTCTTGCCCCATTCGCCTTGGCGACGATAGCATCATCCCAAGCAAAGGGCAGACACGGATCAACATGGAGATCGAGGGTTATCACGAAGAGATCCGCGCGTATGTTTTGCCCCTTCTCGCATGTGTCGACCTTGTCCTTGGAATGGATTGGCTTCGAGCGAATGAAGTCAAGCTCGATTTCCAGAACAATACTGTCTCATTCTTAAAGAATGGTGACACAGTCCAATGGAAAGTGCCTAAGGACTTGATCACGAACGAGCAGCAAACGTCGAAGCGTCCCGATGTGAGTTTTGCGCTCGCAAACGAGTTCGGACAGCATGTTCGACAAGCCGATACCTTCTTTGTGGTACAGCTTGAGAATGCTCAACACGAGAAGCCTGGGGTCGAGAATTTCCCGCCTCAGATGAAAGCACTGGCGGACGAGTTTGCAGAGGTTTTTGAGCCCATCCCAGATGGCCTTCCTCCGGACCGTGCTGTCGGTCACACCATCCCAGTAGAGCCTGGAAAACTCCCACCTTTTAGACCTCTATATCGCCCCAGTCCAGCTGAGTACGAGGAGGCTAAACAACAAATTGAGGAGTATCTCAGGAAGGGATGGATTGAACCAAGCGCATCACCTTACGGAGCGCCGATCTTGTTCGTGAACAAAAAGGGCGGAGGGTTACGCATGTGCGTAGACTACCGTGCTTTGAACAAGATAACGGTGAAGAATAGGTATCCCCTACCGAGAATAGAGGACCTGTTCGACAAACTCCAGGGTGCCCAGTGGTTCAGCGAATTGGACCTCGCGCAGGGGTATCACCAATTGCGCATCACCGAAGAAGATGTACCCAAGACGGCTTTCCGATCGCCGTTTGGTCATTTTCAGTGGCGAGTGCTGAGCTTTGGCTTGACCAACGCTCCTGCATCTTTTCAGAGAGCTCTGATACCAAATGTAACACCTCGCTACCCACTGGGTCAAAACGAGGGTTGTATTTGAGGCGCAGCGGATGCTCTCATACCCTTACGTGTAAGCCCCACAGGCGTTACACTCGTCCCCCCCTGGAGCCGACGTCCTCGTTGGGCAGGGAGTCGGCCCTCGCAAGGACCTGAATCTCGCTCTACAGCGACTTCGCTGGTGGGCCAGGCCAGCTGCGGATCGTTCACTGGGTTCGCGACTGGCACATTCAAATGTGACCCAGCCGGAATCGAACCCCAGGCTCTGATACCAATGTAACAATCACGGCCCTTATAACAACGGGCAACCCTGTGTTAAATATAAATCACCCTTGACAACATTTATAAAAATCAAGATACAGGGCTTTCAAGATCAACTAATCCCACCAAGGGGTAATTTAGCTTTGATAGTACTCCTCAAGCTTGAGAGGAGAAAGGGAGCTTGAAAAAGGTTGATGAAGCTTTAATAAGTAGGTAGGAGCTTCTTGTAGAGCTTGTCCTTGAAAAATCACATGTCTAGTTGTGTAGGGGAGCTTATTAGGAGAACCCAAAAGACTTGGAGTAAAAATCCCATTTCCAAGTTAGATTGTTGGAGTTGGGAAGTGGGAATGAGCTTGAGAGCTCCAACCCCTTCCATCATACCCCTTGGGGCTTTTCCCAACCATGGCTTCCATGGTTGGGGAGGTAATAGGCTTGGAGCCTAAGTGGCAATTTAGTTTGGTTGGGAAAAACCCAACTTAGCACAATTGTATGGCTGTTTTAAGTTTGTGTGGATTGTAACAACTGGCACAACTTGATTGGTTAGCGGAACCCTGGTCCCTGAGTGTTGCCTCCGAGTGTTTCGAAACGTCTAGAAACTCCATGTTGTCCCCATAAATTACAACGGCCCATTGAGTTAGTGCCTTTATCCTTGGGTGTTCTTTTGAGGCGCATCAAAAGGGCATGTTAAGTTAGAGCCTTGATCCATGGGTGCTCTGTTGGGAACGTAGAGAGGGAATGAAAGAGGGAAGGGGAGAGGGAGTGAGAGGAGAGGGAACAAAGGCCTCGTTTTTCCCACAACATTACAAAGTGCCGTTAAGATAGCGCCTTGGTCTATGGGTGTTCTATTGAGAACGGGAGTCAAAGTGAGAGTGGAAATTGGGACGTAACGAAGAAGGAAGGCAGCGGTGCTGACAGCGGGCCACATCCCTCTGCTTGGGTATTCCAGGCCAATTCAGCCCCAACTTTTCCCCACGAAAGCATACATCCCACCTGCACGACTACACCCAGTAATACTCACCCAGAACCTCAGCCACAGTGATCCGCCGGTCGAACGTGCTGACCCACCTGCTCATGACCCCAGCGCACCGCACCCCAACCCACCCCACCCCTCCCTACCCACGCCCAGCATGCGGCGCACAAGGTCCTTGGGAGCGTGTGATGAGTCGATTTTTGAGTCGACTCATCGCACAAGATCCTCGGCAGCGGAGCAGATGGCGGGCCAGGGCTTGGTTTGGTTCGGTTCCATTCCTGGGCCGTTTCAGCCCCAGATGACACCCAAAGAAGCAGACAGCTCACCTGCTCACGCCCCCACCCCAACACCGACTTACTCAGAATCTCGGCGACAGAAATCCTCCGCTCATACTTGCGGCACAGCATGCGGCGAACGAGATCCTTGGCAGCGGTGCTGACGGCGGGCCATGGCTGTGTCTCAAAGTCGAGCTCCTGTCACAAAATGCTCTTGAAGACGTCCTCTGTGGTGTCCCCCCAGAAGGGCGGCAGCCCGCACAGCAGCACGTACAGGATCACCCCCGCACTCCACACGTCCGCTTCAGCTCCGTAATTTTTTGCAATAACTTCTGGAGCAATGTAATTCGGAGTTCCGGCACGCAGCTTGCACCTCTCGCCTGGGGAGGGAGGGAGGGAGGGAGGATGGGAGAGAGGGAGGGAGGGAGAGGATGGGAGGAGGGAGGGGATGGGGATGCCCCCCTGGGGCAAAACGGGTTGGATAAGGGGAAGGAAAGGATCACCCCCGCACTCCACACGTCCGCCTCCGTGCCGTAGTTCTTCGCTACGACTTCCAGGGCCATGTATGTAGTTGGGCGTTCCGGCCCTCAGCTTGCAGCGCTCGCCTGAAGGTGGAGGATGGGAGGGGGGGAAGGAGAGAGAATGGGTAGGATAGGGTAAATGGATAGGACTGTAGTTCTTGGCTATCACCTCCGGGGCAATGTAGTTGGGTGTTCCGGCTCTCAGCTTGCAGCGCTCGCCTGGGATTGGGGAGCGTAGGAGGGAGAGGTGAAGGGGCACGAGGGAAGAGGTGTTGAGGAAAGAGGTTTATGGAGGGAAGAGAAGGAGCAAAACCAGAATGCATGTTTTTTTTCTTCTTTTCTTTTGGGTTCGGGTAAAACACAGAGTACCCACTCAAACACGGAGTCGCTCGAATCATATCCAGTTTCAGGCAGGAGACCCAATGCCAAGAGCACTCACTGTCACCCATGCCAGTTTTAACCCACTGTCACTCTTTTAATACCCACATTAACCATTTTAACCAAGAGAATTTCAAAACATACCCAGTTTGACGCGTGTATCACTCCTTGTGGACTCGAGCATAATGTATTGGGACTCTAGGGTAATACACACAGTACCCATAATAATAAAAGACTTGCTCAAATTACCCGGTTTCAAGATGCAGGCCATGCCGAAGTTAATCACTTTGACCCTTGTATCGCTCCGTTTCGACACCAGCAAGATATTCTCGGGCTTTAAGTCCCGATGCACGATTACCCGGGCGTGGCAGAAACCCAAAACCTCCACGACGGAGCGAATCACCCGAGCTGCCTGCCTTTCCCCGTAGTGCTTGCGGTCTAGAATGCGATTAAAGAGCTCGCCCCCGCTGCACAGCTCCATCACTATGTGCACCTCCTGGTGAAAGGGGCAAGGGGAGATGGGGAGGGGCAAGGGACGATTGGAAGAGCAGGGGAGCATGGCTTCACGGCACCTCACTTTTTTTAGTCGACTTAAAAAAGCTTCGCAACTTCTCACAATTTTAAGTTGACTCAAAGTAGCTTCACAACACCTCACTTTATGAGTCGACTAAAAAATAGCTTCACCGCACCTCACTGTTTTTAGTCGACTTACAAAAAACCTTCACGGCACCTTACATGCGTCATCTTACTAAGCCGGCTCAATGGCAAATTTTACCACTCGCACTCAGCTGCTCAACTTCTATCCTCTCAATAATCAACGGCAACTACTACAAACACATTGACTCTCAGATCTCTCTATTGGCGTACTTCAGGTCTCCCATGCCACGTGATAAAAGTGAAGTTTTGGGACGTCTCAAAACTTCAATTATATCACATGGAGATCTCTATAGGCGTGCTTCAAGTCTATCATGCCTCACACGCACCGTCTCTTCTTCGATTGTCGCAACGATCGACACCTTCCAATGCCTCATACGGATTGCCTCTCAGCGTCTTGAGCACGCTCACCTCCGTCTGCAGGTGGATTTTGAAGGCAAGTCCGGGATACACACACTCACCCCTCCCACACACTCACCCCTCCCACACACTCACCCCTCCCACTCACTCACCCCTCCCACACACTCACCTTCTCATCTTCGATCGTCTCAACTATCAACACCACATACGGATTGCCTCTCAGCGTCTCCAGCACGCTCACCTCCCTCCGCACGTCCTCCACATCGTCCCAACACTGGGGGGATAGAAGGGGATTAGCGGCAGAGGGAGCAACAGAAAAATAAGTGAGCGGAAGGAAGACTTGTCAAAGGGTCTCCAGCACGCTCACCTCCCTCCTCACGTCCTCCACATCGTCCCAACACTGGGGGGATAGAAGGGGATTAGCAGCAGAGGGAGCAACAAAAAAATAAGTGAGCGGAAGGAAGACTTGTCAAAGGGTCTCCAGCACGCCCACCTCCCTCCTCACGTCCTCCACGTCGTCCCAACACTGGGGGAAGGGAAGGGGGGAGGCAAGATGAATGAGACTGGCGAGTGAGGATGAGTGTGAATGAGTGGCAAGAGGCGATGAAGGGCCTCCGGCATGCTCACTGATGGTACTTTTGACAATTCTCAAAAGTACCATCGAGAGTGGGAGAGTGTGAATGAGTAGCAAGAGGTGATGAAGGGCCTCCGGCACGCTCACCTCAAACTGCTCACCTCGAATTTAGCCTTGGTGATGCTATTGTATGCAAACTGCTCCCAAGTCTGAAGGCTCTCCGCTACGTGAATCACTCCAAAGTTCCCCCGCCCTAGCTCCTTCTCAGCTAGCTCATATACACTGCATGCCATGCACCAATGGAACATTGCAGCACTGCTCACCTCAAATTTGGCCTTGGTGATGCTCTTGCATGCAAACTGCTCCCCAGTCTGAGGGCTCTCCACTACGTGAATCACTCCAAAGTTCCCCCGCCCTAGCTCCTTCTCAGCGAGCCTGTATTTCATCCCAATATCCTCATAAGTTTTCCCTAGCACACGCACGTGTCGGCCCTATCTCCTCCGCACTTGCCTCCCCCTCTCCCACCTCAGCTTCCCCATCTATACGGTAATAGTCGCTAGGCTTGGGTGTCCGAAGCGGGAAGCCAGCTTCAACCCGAGCCGAGGCTCCAACTTTGGGGGACGGGATCGGCGTTTCGTGGTTCCAATTGGCAAACATGCTCTGGATTTCGGCTAGCTTGGCTTGGTCCCGAACCTGCTGCGCAGCTATGGAACCAGGGCTACCCACCAGGCTTCCCCCGCCAGGCGTCATATGCCCGGGAGTCATAAATCCGGTTTGAAAACCCGCTTGAGGCACCATGGGGGAGCCTACTAACGGGGATGTTGCCACGCGTGGGCTGGCGAAGGGGCTAGCATAGGGGCTATTATAGGGGCTGGTAGATGGTAGGACAATTCTAGGCTTGTGTGGGCTCTGGGCAACCTCCGCTCTACCTCCCCCGCCTGAGGTACACGCCTCTCTTTCTTCCTTCTCCGATAGCCTTCCTAGTACTCCTCCCCCTCCCCCCCCCCTCCTCCCTCCCCTCCTAGAACATTAGAGCTGCCAATTTGCAGTTTAGAGCCGCTTGCAGGGGAATTAGAGCCGCTCATATGGGGATTAAAGCCCGCCTCTGGATTGAACCAGGCTTCACAGCTAGCGGACCTCCTGTGGCCCATCTTTTTCTTGACAGGCGCCCCCCCCACCCTGACTCCCCCTGCGCCACTTGCCCCTCCGTCTTGAGTGCGAAAGATTTGCCCGGCAGTGGGTGTGGGTATTCCCAGGGGTGGCAGGACGGTGCGCCTCAGGTCTACAGGGTTGCCGTCTTGAGAGCGAGAGTTTTGTCCGATAGTGGTGGGTGTCCCTAGGGGTGCCAGCGGCATCTGTAATGGCTGCACCGCCTGCTGCTGCTACTGCTGCTGCTGCTGCTGCTGCTGCTGCTGCTGCTGCTGCTGCTGCTGCTGCTGCTGCTGCTGTTGTGACTGTTGCAATTGCTGCAATTGTTCCGACTGCTGTGATTGTTCCGACTGCTGCTGCTGTACAATCTGCCCCCTATCCCTGAACCCTCTAGCCCAAAGGCCCGCTCCCCCTTCCGCTCCGCCTCCCCCTCCCCCCGGTTTACGCGGGGAATGCGCTGTTTGCGCGAACTGCCAGCCTTCCAAGCTGCCGGCTTTAATCTCCTCTGGCGCGGCAGCGTTCGTTCCAGGGAAGCCCTGGAACCCGTCGGTCGCGTCGGCAGCGGAATACGCAGCGAAAGAGAAATCCTCGGAGCGAATCCGGCGGTGATGAGCCGCCATGGGCCTAGGAGGCCTGCTAACCTCGGCTGGGTGCCTTGTATATGAAGAGGCATACCCGCCCGCCGTCGTGGTTACTACCACTTTAGCCGGAGCTACTGCCGCCAATCTGTGAAGAATGAGGAATGAAGAAGAGAGGGGGGGTTCACTAGCAAGTAGTTGAGTACATATAGCAAACCCTAAATTGGGCTGTACTCACTATTGAGTACCCCACTGCAGGCTAGACAAACATAACATTCTGACACACCCCCATAGCCAAAGTGGGGTGTAATCAGCACAACAAGCTCAGGGTGGATCACAATGTCACCACACAATCTGAGCACAAGTACAAGAAGCAACAGTTTAAAGTTCACAAATGTAAGCAAAGCTAGAGGCTATCACCGAGGGCAAGTGTGGAGGAGGAGGGACTATGAGAGGAGAGGAGGTAGTGGGCGGCAGCTGAAGCTGCTGGCACACGGCGCAACTGGAGCAACTGGCACACGGGCAACTGGAGCAACTGGCACACTGGCAACTGGAGCAACTGGCACACGGACTACTGGAGTAACTGGCTCCGCGGCTAACTCTGAGCGGCAGGAGCAACGGACTCACGGGCGACTGGAGCAACTGGCTCACGGGCGACTGGCGCAACGGGCTCACGGGCGACTGGCGCAACGGTCTCACGGGCGACTGGAGCTGCGGGCTTCACGGCGGCCACCCCCCTTCAACCTCCCCAAACTATCCCACCCCCTTTTCACACACCCCCTGCTGCACCCTAGGTTCACTCACACCCCACCCCCTAGCACCACTCCGTCGACTCCCACACACCCACCCCCCTCAGCGGCAGCTGCAGCAGTGGGAGACAGAGGAGGAGGAGGAGCAGGGGAGACCACACACCCGCCACCCCCTACTCGCCACCCCCAAACCCTAACACAGGGCAGGGCGGGATGGCGGGTAGGGAGGTTACGGGGGGGGGGGGAAGGGGGGGGCCGACGCGCGGCCTCCCAGGGCGCCAAAGCAGGTGGCAGAGGGGGTGACGCTCGCCCCCCCCCCCCCCGGGTTGCCGCGGCCCCCCAGAGAGCCGCGGCGGGTGACGGGAAAAGAGGGGGGGGGGGGGCGGTGCACGGGTCCCCGGTGCGCCGCGCCAGGCGACGGGGCATGGCCGGGGCGGGGCCGGGGCAGGGCCGGGGCAGGGCCGCGACAGGGTCGGGGCAGGGCCGGGGCAGGGCCGGGGCAGGGCCGCGACAGGGCCGCGACAGGGTCGATAGGGGCGGCGACGGGGCCGGTAGAGGCGGCGACGGGGCCGCTAGAGGCGGCGACGGGGCCGCGAAGAGCGGCGATGGGGCCGCTAGGGGCGGCGACGGGGCCGCGAAGGGCGGCGACGTGGCCGCGAAGGGCGGCGACGGGGCCGCTAGGGGCGGCGACGGGACCACTAGGGGCGGGGACAGGGCCGCTGGAGGCGGCGACGGGGCCGATTGGGGCGGCGACGGGGCCGCGAAGGGGCCGCGAGGGGCCTGGAAGGGCGGCGACGGGCCGCTAGGGACGCCGTCGGGGCCGCGAAGGGGCGGCGACGAGGCCGCTGGAGGCGGCGACGGGGCCAATAGGGGCGGCGACGGGGCCGCGAAGGGGCCGCAAGGGGCCGAGAAGGGCGGCGACGGGGCCGGTAGAGGTGGCGACAGGGCCGCTAAGGGTCGCGCGAGGGGCACGCCACGGGGCGTGCAGCAGACAGAGTAGCAGCGGAAGCAGTTAGGTGGGCCCACAGGCCAGGAGCGTAGATGCTCTGATAGCATGTGAAGAATGAGGAATGAAGAAGAGAGGGGGGTTCACTAGCAAGCAGTTGAGTACATATAGCAAACCCTAAATTGGGCTATACTCACTATTGAGTACCCCACTGCAGGCTAGACAAACATAACATTCTGACACAATCATGGTTCCGTAAGGTCCGTTTCCACCTCCACCAGAGCGACTGACGCAACTGTTTACGCTCGTGGTAGGACTGCCGCTGCTGCGGTTGTTGTAGCCGTCGCTACTTAAATCAGGGGATACATGATATGGTGATTTTAGCGGCCGTTGTTCATAGGTTGCTTGCGACCGTCCAGTCTCTTGTCCAACACCACCATAACTTAACTCAGAACCTGGCGGCGATTTTGGAGGCGAAAATAGTCGTCTCGTATAAGGCCGCGGATTGTACGAGTTATAGCTGTATCCATGATGTGCTTGTTCTCCCGCCTGTCTCATGCCGTCCGGAGAACGTTGCGGGTCCTGCGAATAATCAGGAGACAAAATGGTTCCCGAATGCCGACGGCGGTGACCAGGAGGAGCCTCCGCAAGTTCATGTTTTGGAATAGACTCTTCATTCTTAATTCCGACACGCGAACTCGCCTGATGACTGTGAGTTACAGCCTGAAGCCGAGACCCAGCTACTGGAGCTTGATTCAGAATAGTCGGGTTGAACTGGAAACTATCAGAGTGACTTCATCGATGACGGTTGTTTGGCTTGACAGGCCGAGGAGGAATAGGCGACACCACACGATACACAAGCTCCTGTTGTTTGGAGGCATCAGAACCGTTCATTTGGGCGACGCGATGTCTCGGCTCTTGGGAATGGTGAGAGGGTGGTCGAGAATCAATAAGGGTGACGTTCCTTGACAGTTTCAAAACATGGAACTACCATTGCACTCCAGAAGAGTAAGCAGGTTGAACCTGCTTCTGAAGAAACAAGTTTGGAGAGCAGGCTCTGCCATCGGTACAGTATTGACAGGACGTTTTCTAGGTTGTTCCACCGGTTTAGGATGAAATCGAGGTCATTTTTACCATAGATCGAGATTCTAGACAGTGTCGATTACTCGGGATGATCCTCATATCAGAGCCACACGTGTTATGGGTTCAGCCAGAATTGGAGTTAGTAATTACGGTCGTCGATCCCTCCCGAGTTTCCCCGTTGCGACGTTCGCCAATGCAGGAACCCATGTTGCAAAGGTTGCGCGGAATGGCGAAATGCACCCGCCGCCCACAACGAGCCGAGCAAGAAACGCTCATTGCTCACTGTACCGTGAAGTACCCTCTCTTATCTTACGATAGTATCGGCTACAGTAAATTGACTCGGGTTCTGTCCGAGAGCATACAAGACAAGGTCCCACTTCTTGTTTCGAGGCAGTGGGTTCAACTTCACGTCCGCCCGCACGTAGGCCATGTGGTCCTAGTGTACAGCACTGTGGGCCGCAGCGGTCCCCCAGTACACTCCCAAGAACACCATATTCCTCTTAGTTCGCATTGGTTCAGATACAAGGAGCTAGAAAAACAGCACGCCTAAACAAAATAGCTGACGGTACAGCTAATGATATCCATGATTAATAACTTTAGAGCCTATGAGGGACTTACTGTTTACTGAAGTCAGACGTCAATTCACAGTGTGTAACAGAGATTTGAAACTTTGTGTGCCTCACTGTTTTCATGTTGCATCCTGTTGCGATCAGAAAGTGATCGTAGGATCACCTCAGGAAGGTTTGCACAAGACTAGGTGTTGGTGGTGGGCCCTTGACCTCAATAGCAGAGTGAATGTAAAATGCTTGAGATAGATTAAAACATGTAAGTACAAGGAATATGAATAAGAGTACAGGGGAATTCGAAACGTCCTAGCTAGCCATGTACTCTAAAAGCACATTCTCTTATTACATCGAAATCCAACCGTGCGACTCCAGACG